CCCTGCTTTTGCCTACAGGACCTGAATGGGAAGCCAGTCCCTCCGTGTTGCCTTGCATGTCCTTTAGTTGTAGTAAACCATCAATTATGCTGCTAAATGCTATCAACAGCAGGAGATGAAAAGAACCTTATTTTACAATAAATCATTCCTAACAATAGCCCAACTGAGAAGAACCTGTACTGTGATATGTTCCTAGGGACACGAATTCAATTGTTGAATCGATTCAAGACTTGCCAAACTATTGTCAGATTTAAATACAATGTTGATTGGTTTTGCAGAAATGTGATGTTTTCAAATTGTATTTGGATTCTCCCATATCATGAAAAAAAACAGTTTTTATTAAATTTAATTAACGGATCTTACAACTAATTATAATGGGTCACTATTTAATAAATATTATGTCTTTTACTATCAAACATGAGCATATAGTCAATAACATTAATAAATCTAAATTCTTTTAAATTTAGCACTGTTCATTATTGAATGCATCCAGAGTTAGGGGCCCGGTCTTGGTTCTAAACTTCTGACCGACAGAAAATGACAGCTTAGTATAGCTTCTGGATATTTCATACTTTCAGTGGGTCTGCAATATTTCATAGAAGTCATGGGTTTAATTGGTAAATGATATGTATAAACTGTAATGTCTGACACGCAGTTGGAAGCAAATTTATAGGATTAAATTAAAGTAGACAAAAGATGAAGGTAAGCCAAATAAACGCAGCCACTGATAGGCTTGCCAAATCTGACGTCAAATATCGCTTTGTGACAGATGAACTTATCAAATTAGAGTGAACGCAACCTTCGGTGTTGACCTCACATCATGTATTCCTCAAAGCTCATTATTTGGGAAAAGAGAATATTGGCATAAAATTAATGCGGATAATTTTCTTTTTCAAATAACTTCTATATGAAAATCATCTTTAAAGTTTCACCTTGATTTTTGAAAATAGAGATTGGACTTTTAAGTACAATATTTTATTGAATAAATTTTCATCACATAAAAATTATTATATTAAATTTGATCATAAAATTCATTTGAATTTTTTTTACAAATATTAATTCAATAAAATTTTAAAAATAATATTTTAATTAACTTCATTTAAAAAAATTAATATAAACTAAAACGAATTTACAAAAATTATAAATCATTTTTAGACTCTTAAACAAATTCTATGCTTAGTTATATTATTTAACCTTATATAAGCTTTAATTTATATGCAATTTAATCCATATACTTTTAATTACTTAGATTTTTTCCTTCTAATTTTTAAACTCTTCAAATTATGTTCGTCATTTAAAAATTTTATCTAATAATTAATAAAAATATAATAAAAGTTTAATATATCATTTATTTATACAAATTAGTAGAGAAAAAAGTAAATATTAAAAAAAATACTGAATGAAAAAAATATATAATATAATAAAAGTTTTATTTAAATAATTTATATAAACTATAAATAATGATACATTATATTTTGTTATATTTTTATTAATTATTAATTAAAAATTTGAGACGAAAAACTTAATTAAATAATAAAAAAATTATGAGAAATAAATATAGATGATTAAAATAAAAAAAAAACTAAAATTACATATAAACTAAAATATGTAGACTAAAAATACAATTAAACCTAAAATTTCTTCAAACACCATATTTACCACTTCTTGAATTAAGCGCTTCCAAATGTTAGAATTTGTTGGGATATGCACTTTTTTTCTGGGCGAAAAATTGAGCTATGTTCATTCACACTTTGCGATTTTGTCATCATGTATATTGCTTTCTAGAATGATAATTTGTAAGGATCTTTGTATCAGTCATGTTTATGTATCGTCAAATAAAAATAAATATGTGAAGATAACATAATTCTGTCTTAAAAAAAATGAACAAAGTAACGAGATCATGTCCCAATAAGTTATTGAGATTAAATCCCAACAACATCATAACCAATTGTTATCTCGTAACTTATTATTGCAACATGATCTCATTACAAAGTATCTGCTTCGCAAGTTGAAGCCAAGTAAATTCTTTGAAATGAGATAGCGTATGGGGGGCAGCAGTCACCACAAATTGTAGTGGTAAAAACTCTATTTAGGTTAACAAATTAGGCCATGTTTGTTTACAAATACTAACGTGATTGCAAAAATTTTGATATAATTAGAAGCTCCGTTAGACGAATACAATTTCTTTTTTACATAGTAGAAATAGAGTTTTAATCTTACAAATGGATAACCAATTAGGCTCAATGAAAGTTCATAAAACTTTTTCTGAGCTTGTTTAGATTGGCGTCGGTTAATTAGTTTCAAAATGAAAATTACATGTTTTACGAAAAGTGTGCAACAGAGGTTATAAGAAATAAAAATATATTTAATCATAAAGTGGTAACACTAAAACAAATGGAGTCTATAATTGCAAACAGAAGATCTGCAGAAAACACAACATAACTGTAGATGTTGAACTAATTTCGAAGAACCAAACAACATAGCCATGTAAAGGCCTGCTAAATCTGGTTTACTATCTCGCATGTGGCTAATTCCTTAAAAAAACTTATTTTAGTAAAATAAAAAATCATAATTTTTTGTCATAATTTTCTTTAAAAAATATAATAGCTCTAAAATTATACATGATTGAAAACATGCCTGGGCATAACAACGTAGAATTCCACTTTTAAAAAAGCACAGATTAAATGAATATGGAATGTCATGATCGTTGGCTTTCTGAATCCATTGCGTGAGTAGCGGTCTGCATTATTGACAACCTAGACGACAAAAACTCTTATCTATTCTTTCGTTGACCACCGTATGGGCATGCCTTCACCGTGACTCTATAATAGCGATACGAAACCCGCGTCTGATTCTGAGAATCTCTAGCATTTATTAGTTTTTGTCAAATATTAAAGATAAAAGTTCTGCTGTATCTTTCTAGTCTTATTCTTAATAATCTTTTAACACGTTTTTATAAAATAAATAAAAAAGTGAATATATATTTTTAAAATTTTAAATATATTTAATAATAAAAAAGATTCATAAAAATGAAGATAAGTCTGTTATTCTAGTAGGGAATCGGTTGCCAAGATTGACGTTTACTTTGGTGTTTGATTGATGAAAATGAAGGACTGCACCAAGTCTTGTAAATTAATATGCCCTGTGCTTAAGGCTAGTACAATCAGAAGAAATCTAGCCCGAGTTTTCTTTTTAATTGTGCTACTATAGAGCTATTGATAATTCTCAATTACTTCCAGTGAGTATTAACCTTTTACATTCACTATACATTAGATATATGAACAAATGTTGACAAAGGTGTGTGTATCTAGACTCATTTAAAATTTTTGATTCATTCCTTTCTTAGCAAGATTTACATAAAATTCATTTATCTAATAATTAAAAAGTTACTAATCTTTTTTTAAAATTAGAGACAGTACTCATTAGTTGTTGTAAGGGCTTTTGTTTGCATTTATCTCTTCTTAAATGAGAAATTGCACTCTAGAAAATAAAATGTAGAACTATATATACATGTTAAATAACATAACAATTGAAATTTTTAACAGTTTTATGATTTGTTATACATATATAGAGGTATTTTATAATCTTAACTGTTGATATTTTAATCAATAGTTATAACCTACACTTTGTAATCATGGATAAAATTAATCTTAAAACGGCTAAAAGAAAAATTACATAAGACCATATATTTTTTATTAAAAAAAATAATTAAAAAAATAAGACTTTTATCTTCTAAAATGCATATATCCCTCATTTGAGAAGAGACAAAAACATGTTGTACTAATACATAGGCCGCATGGTTCCTATTTGTAGAAAAAACACTCATCTGTATGTAAATATGTCATAAATACAAGATAAGAAGGTTTAATTATGGTATATGACCAAATTACGGAAACAGTTTTGGGTGTATTGGTTCATAATTGGTTAGCATATGAAAGAGATTGAATGTAGCATTTGCTAGACGTTTAGGGTTTAGGGTTTATACAACACGAAATACGAAATAGACCATAATATATATGTTTTATACAATTTTGTTCGACTAACGGAAGTGGAACCAGGTGAAATAGTATAAAATAATTTGATTAATTTTTATTAAAAATTATAAATCTTATTTTTCTTTTTCATCTTCTCTTCGTTCTCACTTGTGTGCCTTGAGATGCATGTATGAATAAACTATTATTCATGTTTAATATGTAACCAAAATTAAGCACATAAAATAAATAATTTTTAAATCGTATTCAATAAAGACAGATAATAAGAATTTATATATAATAATTTTTTAATAAAATTTACATGATCTAATATTTTGATAATTATACTATAATTTTAATAAAAATTTATTATTTATTTATTTTATTTTATGTAAACTTGAACACACATTAAAAAAATTTAAAATTTAACATCTAACTGAAAATAATATTTGTTATGTTTTTAATACGTATTAAACGTAAAATTGAACATAATACCTGCTTTATTCTAAAACTATTAAATGAAACAATAATATTTTATTTTTGTTTTGTGCATGCGCTAAGCGTCACCTAAGATTTCATATCAACTTTATCTATAACATTTTTTTAAGATAAATATTAAAAAAAGTATGAAATCATGTATACACAAAAGTTAGAAGTATCATGAATTTTAATTTAAAAGAAACATAGCTATATACTTTTAAAAAAATGATGAAATGTATGTAGACCAGAAAATGAAGTGGATGAAAGAGAGAGATTAAAAAGGCATTATGAATAATGCAATAAAAAATGAAATAGCAAATAATATTAAAAAGAAAATGAGGCGGAGAAAGAATTGTAAGAAAAAAATAAGTATATGAAATTAAAAATTCATTTACTTAATTCGTTTTTTTTTTTTTCTAGTTTTAAAAAAATAAAACAGGTAGAACTAGAAATCATCAAACTATATATATTCTTGTCAACCATTTGACTCTGTTCTCTCTATATATATTGACACAACTACAACCAAATACGATAATCCCTACAAAGCCTTCCTCCTACCACTTGACATTAAGGAATATAGCTGCAACAATGGCGCCGTTACCCCTTTTTCATCTTACCCTTTTGCCACTAATAATCTATAAGATCGCTCTTTCCTCGGCTGCGGTGGATCCCACACAAGGGTTCACCCCTCTTCCGTTAGATAATTCAAATTTTGTTGTCCAAAAGCCTTACGATGTTCCCGTTAACAAGCGCTACAGCTTTATAAATGGCGTGCACAAACTCTGGGTTTACTCCACAGACAAGCCTCACACACCTACCAGCAACACAGAGCCACGAACTGAGATTCGAATCAGTGTTAGTCCCCACTCACACCTTATTTGATCATGAATAAAATATATTTTTAATCTATGTAATATTTAACTAAATTTACTATTATTATTCGGTGATAACTTCACATGGCAAAAACTAATAGAGAAAAATTAGAAGACTAAGATTTAATTTAATTAATTTTTAAGGAAGTGGAACATACTTAAGGCTTTAAACTTTTAATTATTTGATAATTGATTAAGAAAGAAACATGAGGCTAAGTTGTGAATTTGCAGGGATACGATTATACATCTGGTGTATGGCAATTTGAAGGGTATGGTTACGTGCCTAGTGGGACGACGGGGGTATGCATTATGCAAGTGTTCGGTGGAAGCTCCTCTGCCACATCCTTGCAGCTGAGGATCTATGATGGTTCGCTCACTTCTTATAGGTCCCCTGTTCTGGCTCGGAACATCTACGATAGGTGGTTCAGGGTGAACGTGATCCATGATGTCGGTGCCTCCAATGTCAAGGTTTATATTGATGGAGAGCTCAAGTACGATGGAGCTGACCATGGACCCGACACTCACTACTTCAAGTTTGGGGTTTACACACAGAATGATCCTTCTAACTACATGGAATCTCGTTGGAAAGACATCAAAATTTTTAAAAAATAGACTGCTTTTGTTTCGGTGCCAAATTCTAATAAGACAAGCAGAGGGTTTGGCTAATTTAATATCATATGCCCAATAATCTATCAGGTTTTTCTTTTGGACCCACAGTATACTACTTTTTTTTTAATTGTAACAGTTAATGTTATTGGGCAAATTTTAATATATTGAATTTTATTAAATTTTAATAAATATTTTTTATTGTATGTTTTTTTAACACACGTTTGAAGAATTAATAATTTGTTTGGAGAACCTAAAAGTACTATTTAGAAATCGATTCCTAATCTTAGATGACAAGTATACGATGGTTTAAAGTTTCACAAGATAATCCATGCTCAAATTAATATCAATCTGTTACTCATTACCAACAGTGGAAGCCCAACCTTGAGTCGTTGACTTATATGATGTGTTTGGTTTTTGTAAACACAAATTTTAAAGTATGGAAATTAACTTTTTTTTTCCTTGTCAAATGTACGTCAAACTTTTACAAAGATTAAGAAATAATAAACACTCTATTAGTGTAAATACACTCAATTAAGCTCAACAAAAAGAATGAACGAATTGTAGCGGGGCATCTTTTTTCTACTTTGGGTAGGGCAAATTTTCTCTTAAGTACTGCCATTTTTTTATTTGGAAGGAGAACGACACTGGAAAGTCCTTTTCAAAATGTTATGGGAGTTTGAAGTAAAAGTAATGAAAGAAAAACCAGAAAGATAATGAATTTAAAGAAATAAAGCTATTAAAGAAATGTAGAAATAATTAGTTATATTTTTCAATTAAAAAAAATGTTTAATCTATATTTATAGATATTACGTGCGGAACGCAAAGACAAGGGAGTTCAAAAGCCAATGCGCAAAGACAGCGAGAATAGAGAATAGACAAAAGGAAAAAAATAACTGAATTTTGGCCCATGCAGGTCTCGAACCGACCTTCGCGTTATTAGCACGACGCTCTAACCAACTGAGCTAATAGGCCAAGTGATAATAATGCAAAAATAATATATACTCATTGGTTCATAATGCACTATTTGCTTTGCTTGATTTACTGAGTCCTCGTATCACTGTTATCACTTTTACCAACAAAAAAAGAGTCTAAACAAAATTAAGAGAGTGAAAGGAAATAACGGTAAAGTACATATAAGTGGATATGTGAATGGAGAAAACGTGGCTGGTATGTTTTCTGTACTTCATCGATGTTTGAGGTTAGAATGTTGTCGGAGGTGGGGTTAGGGCAGTGACGGTGACAGCGAGTTGTAGACGTTGGAAGATATGAAGCTCTTGGGAAGTGAGGCCCAGGGTGATGGCCAAATTGGGCCAGCATTCATGAGCCATGTCAAGAGAGGGAATTGCAAAATAACAAGCGGATCCAACATGGGCCTGTCCTTTGAGACAGAGAGAACGACTTCGCCTAATGTGTTTCATATTTACCTCAGTTTCTTATTTTGATCGTTATAAATTTATATCATATGTAACATACGGTACTATTATTTTATGTTTATATAGATACATGTTTTAAAATACATTTCAATTATAAAAAATATCTAAATATGTTTCCTTCTAATGATTTAAAAAATATTTTCTGGCTCACTTTTATAGTAAAAGGTTGACTTTAAAAATAATAAACAATGTAAGCGAAAGCGTGAAGAGTAAATTAAAAATGTAAAATTACCCTATATCCCTGTGAAGGTGGTAGCTGTAAGAGAAATAATTACTTTTTCTCTGCAAGATGGATCCTGTACTGAATAATATATGTCTAATGTTTTAATAACAATAATAGCGGTAGTTATTGTCATTATGATCATAATATTACCATCATCATGATCATATCTTACAGAAGTTTACTTTTTTTATTAATCAATTTTGAAATATTTCATTGTGTAACTCGTCAAATGAATTAGGTTAACTTATCAATTTTGTTTGGTCAAAGTTTATTGCCGTAAGGCCACGACTTACTACATGCATCGTGCAAAATAATTATAAAAAATATTTTTAAAATTATAGCAAAATATTTTGTGAAATAAGTTATTTTAAATGCTGGTTGAATTTTATTTAATTAACCTTATACATGTTTTGCAAAACATCAACCTGAATTAGACGTGTTACTTTTTGTGGATTTTCATGGAAAGCACGGCATTATCTTTTAAATATAAAAGTTAAATTGGTCTGATTTAAAAGTTTATTTATTAATCTACATTACAAGAAAATTTTTAATTAGGTAAACAAAATAATTTTTACAGTCATAAATCTAATATAATAATTAATAACAAATTTATTTTATATAAAACTAATGTGTCATATTAATACATGATTAAAACAAAAGAAATTTCACAGTAATCAAAGTTAAATCTAAATTTATTTATAACTTTTATCTAATGAAATATTGTAAAAAGTTGACTCGATATCAATACTTCTATGGCTACGTAAATAATAACATTTTATTTTATTTGCATAAATTTAAAATTAAATCTAGAATAAATCACATATACTGTTCATGTGGTAAGTATAAAAACTCGTGATACGAATTTATCAATTATAATATCGCTTATATCTTGGTAGTACATGCGTGTGTGCGTGTGTGTACTAAAGAGTTGTTGGGACTTGGGTGTTCATATTATCATATTATACATTATATGTCAAGAAATACTTATTGGCGTAGGAGTAGAATCATTATATCCATATACTTTTATTCGCATAAATAATGAAAAAGCAAAGATACGTTATAAAGATAGAGAGAAAAGGACAAGAAAAGACAGAGAGGGATCAAAATATAGCACCGACACTCTTGGGGGGTAAAATGAACTTGGATTATCTGAGACAATTGAGCAGCTTCTCATTCGAACCAAGAGAAAATTCAACAAGCATTTATTTTCATTTTTTGAAAAAAAAAGTAACATAATTTGAATAAAAAGGATAAATTATTTTTATTATTTTCAATTAAAGGAAAAAAAAAAAACACCTGGAGGGATGGTTTGAACCTTGGGAGTGGCAATGAACTGGCAATAGGGTGTAGTCTTTCTGATGCATAATGGCATTGACTCAACGTGTCAAATATCGCTGCCACATTTTTGTCTTTGGCATGCCCTTTTTTGAAGATTTTATGAGGTTATTGTTACTGTTAGGGTGGGGTGTTTATGATTTGGAGCAACGCTGATACTATCCCTACGCAAACACATTCACCAGCTGGCGCCTTCTGTTCTTGTGGTCCCCACTCCAAAATTATGAATACTTTGGGTCAAGGTGGGTCCACTCACATGCTTTCATTGTTAACAGCTCCACGGCACTGTTAAAACTTAAAACACAGTATCCTCCTCATGCCTCATTACACTTGTTCTTCATGGATCGTGCCAACCCGGTTGACTTGTTTTTCACACACTTGCCCCTGCTAATTAACACTATCCTAGTATTAACTTAAAAATGAAAAGTATGAAAAAAAATATCATGTGAAGGGATTGATTGTTTTGTAGGTAGAGAATTTAATATTTATATTTTTAATATAAAACACATATTTCAATAAAAATATTATCTAAATTATTTTATACACATTTTAAATATAATAGCAATTTAAATAGATTTTTTCCAGAAAAAAATATCAAAATTGAATTGCACTTTATACAATTTTTATCCATAAAATTAAAGAAAATTCAAAAATAAAATTTAACAGTTCCATTCAGCCTAATTGATATTTTTAAGATTTTTAAAAATAATTATAACAATCTTAATATGTGCTTAATTTAATACATTTTAAAGAAAGTTAACTATAATTTTGAATAACAAAATATCTCTTCAAAAATAATAATTTCTAAATATGATATTTTACCAAAAACACATTTTACTCTCAATAATATGAAGAATTAATTTCAAAACTCTAAGAAGTGAAATCAATTTTTTTTTAAATTAAATATGAAAAAGCGCTCAATTTAAGTAAAAAATGTGCATATATATTACTTTCACGTATAATATATTTAATAGTGAAATAAATCGCATATTCTCTTCTTTAATTAATTTCTTGCATTTCTATATAAATTATACCAAAATCATAAAAATGTAGATAAGATGTTTGATTTGAAAATCGTTAGTTTTAATTGTAGGTTTCCATCTTAATGTTTACCAAAAATGTTGCGATTATGGGTTATGTTATTTCATAGAAGTTAAATACAAGCCAACTAATTATCTGTTTGAATAATTATTTTATTTTTAATTAAACACAAATAATTTATTTTAATCATTTAATTGGAAACAATTTAAGAAATCATAATTAAACAATTAATAAAAAATATAGACAATTAAAAATATTAATAAAACTAACTAGTTATAATATATTTAAATATTTTGTGTGAATAATATAGGTAGGTATGAAAAGAAAGAAATTAATGTCACGCTTGTATAAGATGTGTGAATGATGTAATCAGCCACATTGCAATTGTGGGCGCGTATCTTTCAAAGTAGTACAATCACTAAATTTATCAGTCTTTTCTCAGTCACTCATTTATATCCTAAATGAGATTAGTATATTTCTAGAAATGTAGAACAATTTCTATCACAAAGTAACAAATGATGTCTAATAATATTTAGATTCAAAGTTATTTTTAACTTTTAAAACATAACTATGTGTTTAGCATAAGTATTGTAAAAAATATCAATAAACTTAGAAGGTATTTTAAGCTAATTTTCATCTCTATTTTCTAATAATAGCATAAAAACTAATTCTTCTCGACTTTCTTAAGCACTTCCCTTAATATCAATTATGAATTTAAATTTTTGATCAGCTTCCTAATAACCTAGTGCTCTAAAAAAACTTGAAATTGTTGTACTTTTTCACATAAATAATGTTCATAACATCAAATATAATGTTATAAATTAAGATATCCACCAAAGTGTAACTAAAAAACAAAAGAGGATTAATTTTATGTTGAGTTATAACTCAGTTATTGGCATTAAAAGAAGTTGCAAATCTTTCATTTTATATATTTGCACAAATTCATATTTTCTTCATTGTCAAATAGTCTTTAACACAGTAAAGAATGTCCATATGACGTGGTCATGCTCGAATAAATGGGTAAATGTGTCA